GTAAAATACAAGACCCCAAAGTGGAGGGAACATAAAACCTGCTATAACATCTAAAGAGAAGGGACACACACACACCAATAAAATCATGGGTAGAAAGGGTGGCTTTCGCCTGGTGCTGAAACAGTGCCAATGTTGGTGCCATGTGAATATCCTGGGGGAGAGAATTCCATGGCCTAGGGGCAGAAGCTGAGAAGGCCCTGCTCCACGTAGATGTCAACCTTATTTCCATAAGTGGTGGAAAACGGAGCAGAGCCTCCCCAGCCAGCCTCAATCCCAGGCAGGTTTCTATAGGAGATGGTCCTTCAAATACCCCGGCCCCAACCCATTTAGGGCTTTATAGGTCATAACCAAGACCTTGAATTGTGCCCAGAAACATATCGGAAGCCAGGCAGCTGCCGGAGCACCAGGATAATGTGCTCTGTATAACAAGTATTAGTTAAAACTCGAGCAGCCGCATTCTGGACCAGTTGAAGCTTCTGAAGACTCTTCAAAGGCAGCCCCATGTAGTGCGCATTAGAATAATCCAATTGGAATGTGATAAGAGCAAGAATCACTGTAGCCAAGTCATTCTTATTCAGGAAGGATTACAGCTGGTGGATCAGCTGAAGCTACCCTACAGCACTCCTGGTCACCAAGGAAATCTGATTTTCAAATGTTAAAAAAAGAGTCCAGGAGGACTCCCAAGTTGCATACCTGTTCTTTCAGGGGGAGTTTGACCCCATCCAGAACAGGTAATACAGCACATTTCCAGACAGATGGTTTCTTGATCCACAGGACCTCCGTCTTATCTGGTCCAGCTTCAGCCTATTCAACCTCATCCAGTCCATCACTATCGCCAGACATGGGTTTAGATTGATCACTGCCATACCTGGATCTGATGTCACAGAGAAATAGAGTTGGTGTCATCTGCATATTGATGGCACCATCCTCTAAATCTCCTTATGATCTCTCCCAGCAGTTTCATGTATATGTTAAACAGCATAGAGGACAAGATGGAATCTTGCGAGACCCTGTAGCACAATTGTGCATAGCTATCTTCACTGCTGTAGCTAGGGGGGGCTCACAGAATTACTGGGGCCCTTGGGCAAGACGTAGAAGATAGTGTCACTCTTCCAAAAGGCATGGGGCCTTGGTGGAAGGGGCGGGACCGGAAGCTAGCCTCCCGCTGCCAGCTCTCAGTGCCACATCATGCACATTGCCCAGAGCTCTGCTGACAATTTAAAGGGCCTGGGGCACCAGCCGCTGCGGTTGCAAACTCTGAACCCTTTGGAATATTTTCAGTCGTATCTGGATTCAGCTTCATCTTATCTGACCTCCTGCAGTCCATCACCACCTCCAGACACTGGTTCAGATCAGTCACCGCCACACCTGAATCTGGTGCCACAGAGAAATAGAGATGGGTGTCGTCTGCATATTGATGGCACTGTTCTCCAAATCTCCTTGCGACCTCTCCCAGTGGTTTCATGTAGATGGCAAACAGCATAGGAGACAAGATGGAACCTTGTGGGATCCTATAACACAATTGCCACATGGTTTAGCAGCAGCCTCCGAGCTCCACTTTCTGAAAGCATCCTAACAGGTAAGACTGGAACCACTGCAAACAATGCCTCCAAGTCCCAACGCTGCCAGGTGCTCCAGAAGGATACCATGATTGATGGAAGCGAAAACCACTGGAAAGTCCAAGAGAATCAACAGAGATGCACTCCTCCTGTCTTTCTCCTGGTGTAGGTCATCTACCAGGATGACCAAGGTGGTTTCTGTTCCAAAACCAGGCCTGAAGCCAGACTGAAATGGATCTAGATAATCCATTTCTTCCAAGAAAGCTTGGAGTTGCAATGCCACCATCCACTTGAGTGCCTTGCCCAGGAAGAGAATATTAACAGGGGTCCAGGGAAGGCTTCTTAAGGAATGGTTTTATCACCGCCTCTTTCAAGGAAGTGGGAACCATACCAGATCTAAAAGAAGCATTCATAATCCTCTTGACCCAACCAGTCATTCCTTACCGGCTTGATTTAATAATCCACGAAGGGCAGGAGTTGAGCGAGGACATGGTCAGTCACACTCCTCCAAGCACCTTGTCCACATCCTTAGTCTGCAACAGCTGAAACTGATCCAAAGAAAAATGACTGGGTAGTGCACTCAACACATTCCGTATCCTAGTTACATGACAGCCAGAGTCCAAATCAGACCGGATGCGAGTAATCTTATTTGCAAAGTGCTTTTCAAACAAATCACAGTGGATTGCTGAGGACTCCACCATCTCATCATGAGGACCAGGCTGTAAGAGGCCCTGCATCACTTGAAACAATTCCCTCGGACAGCACTGTGCAGACATGATGCAGGCAGAGAACTAGCTCTTCTTCGCTATCAGTGCTACCACAGAATAGGCTCGCAATTCAGTTCTAACGCACAATCAGACTCTGCTTAAGTTCTCCTCCAGCGGTGCTCTAGCCATTGCATAGCTAGACCACGGGGAAAACTTGGTTCAACTAGCCCAAAAAGTGCACTTAGGAGCAATCATGTCCACTGCCCAGGCTACCTCAATGTTCCAAGGCAGATAATAGGCTAAATGGATGTTGATCAAATCAGAAATTTCCAAATGGTGTAAGGGAAGCAATCAGCACAAGGCTGAAATTTAGGAAGCAGGACTCATGAAGAATTTGGTAGCTCTCCTCAAGCAGTTTTGAGAACATGCTTCTATGTTGTTTTTGGGATAACTGCTCTGGATCTCTTCAACAACACACTGATTTATCTTAGGATCATCTGAACGTGCTCACCACAGGTTTGACAGCATCTGAATTTCATTATTTTCCCCTCCCCCTTTTGCAATGGATCATGACTTTTGGGGGTTATTCATCCACTTCTTGTTACACATTTTCTTGGCTGGGGAACCCACCCTGAGCTTCGGGGGCCATGTAACTCAAATCCAACTGCAGGCTCCTCCTGCAGTTCAGTCCTCCTGGCTGGATTGTTGGTAGGGGGGAACAGAATCTAGCAATTCCTGCATCTAGAAGCAAAAGCCTCTGCTGCCTGAAATAAGAGACTGTTAGCTCAGAGGCAGTATGTAGCCGACTTGTTAAACCACTGTGTGGTGAAGCCATTAGTAGAAAGGAGAGTCACATCACAGGCATGGGTTATACTTAAAAGGAAATTTCTGAAGTATTCACATACTTCTGTACTGCCTGACACCTCCACTTTTATTTTCACATAGAGGTATTCTGTGTTGGGGAGTACCTGTGAGGCTTTTCCTCCGGGTGCCACATTTATAAAAGACTTTGAAGAAGGACGACATCAAGTCTGAAGGATTATGCGTTGGCTGAATCTGGGTTGGTTATCTGGGCAATAGAAAACTAAATGTGGCAAGGTGCCCACACTATATTTTATCTCTGAATAGGTCTTCAGTACCAGGATTTATTTGTTGCTAAAGAGATTTGAGTCAAGAATTTTTGTCTTCTGTGGTAGGCAGTGTACTTCCCTGCCCAGGGCATTCATATCCATAAAAGGATTATGCGTTGGCTGAATCTGGGTTGGTTATCTGGGCAATAGAAAACTAAATGTGGCAAGGTGCCCACACTATATTTTATCTCTGAATAGGTCTTCAGTACCAGGATTTATTTGTTGCTAAAGAGATTTGAGTCAAGAATTTTTGTCTTCTGTGGTAGGCAGTGTACTTCCCTGCCCAGGGCATTCATATCCATAAATTCTGGATATGTTTCTAATATTCCTGTGCTCACTCTGCATTATTCTTTACAGTTTCTGGTTCCCCTTTCTGGTCCCTATCTCATCAATAATTTGGTCTGAAAACTTCATTCTGTCCCTTGAGAATTCACATTCGCAGAAGAATTAATAATTTCAATAGATCAAGGGATATATCTCCAGGAAGAAATCAAATCTATTAAAACCACGTTGTATGGCTTTTCTGACTGCCATCTGTGTTCTGTTACCTGGTCTAATAGACTTCGGCACCAGCCTGATAAGACCCCAGGATCTGTCGCATGTCCACAAGACATTTTCACCTTCATGAGACCATCATCATCACCTGACAAGTGAGGAAACATTGGCAGAATGAACATAAACATCCTCTCAAAACGGAGTGCATTTATCAAATCTGTATCTTTGATCTGTGAGGTTTTCCCTACGCTCCTTCCAGAGGGTGTGTCTAAGTGCACATATGTAGAAAAGCTCCTCAGGGATTTAGGGACTCAAGTCTCATTGACTTTCAGTGAGTCATGTGGGACTTTGAATTTTTAAAACACTGAGGTGCTTTTGAAAAACTGGTGTCTAACATCAGGGATGGTGTAGACGGAGCTTAGTCCTGCCATGAGGGCAGGGGACTGGACTCGATGACCTCTCGAGGTCCCTTCCAGTCCTAGTATTCTATGATTCTATGAACACTCTTTCGGAAAAAGGCTTCTTCTTTGTAAAAAGAGGTTTACCAATGTTGGAAAACCCCCTCTGTTCTTTTGATTTACTTTCAGAAGAACGCGATTTCAATGTGGACATAACTCAGGTTTTGTTGGAAAAGCAGCTGTTTTTCTGACAAAACTCTGTAGTGTAGACATACCCTTATAAAGTATGTTGTGAAAGCAAAAGATTTGTTGGTAGGAGATCTGAGTTCTAGTTCCACTACCACAGAGTTCCTGAGCCGTATTCCTCATTGTCCTTTGGTTCCTTCATACTAACGAGGCTGCCATAAAAAATGTATACAGAATATACAGGATCCCCTTACAGAATATCATCAGATTCAGGATGAGTAGACTCTCCTGTTACTTGCAACACCTCCTCCAAAATGAGATTGTCTCACAAAAGTAGCAGCAGTAACAGTGTTTTCTCAGCCTCTCTTTCTTGTGCTTGTGCTATTTGATGGCTTCATCTCATTCCTTAGCTGTCCTGATGTTTGCCTGCTGCTACCTGTTGAACAGAGGTCCTTTGAGAGGTCCCCAGCGATACGCCAAACTATTGTACTAAATGCTCAGTACAAGTCAATGCACTGCCACTATGAGCTCTGGGGCAAGGTGTAGGAGGAGCCAGCTCCAGGCCTCTGGCAGGGGCAGTGCCTCAGGTGGAAAGGACAGGGTTGGAGGCAGCTAGTCCTCAGCACTGCCCAAACGGCGGTGCCAGATCTCCCCACTTCCAGCCCTTAGAGCAGGCCTGGGCAAGAAAACACTTTGATCCGGCCTGTGAACTGTATCTGTCCACTTTCTATTTACAACCTGCTGTCTGCCTGTGCCGCTGAATATTCAGGCTGTGGCTAAGGCAGCAAGATCTTATTGAAATGATTCCCGTTTGCGGAGTTATCCCAACAGTGGCCTGAGCTGCAAGCCTTTTGAATAGCCCCAGCAATCCCGGGGGGCTCCCTGGCAATGTGGTAGTGGTGGGGCCAGAAACCACAAACCCTTTGCTGTGTTTTTAATTCAAAACCTCCAGCCCCAGACAACTCTGGGGGGAGGTGAGTCTCCAGCCCCGCCCCTTCCACGCCAGGCTCTGCCGCTTTCAGGGATGGAACCAGCCTGTGACCACCTACCAAAATTCTTTAAGTGCCCCCCCACCTTAGAGTGCCCCCCTCAATTGGCAGGCCTGCACACATCCCTCCCCCTCCTGGCCTCTGTTTTCATGAAATCCACAAAGAGCTCGTCACATCTTTTTGACACAAATACTTTTGCCTTTGCTCACTTTAAAGCAATGTTCATTTTCAACCCCCCTTTCATCTTCTTAGCTGGAGCAGGTGTAACCTACACACCTAGGGTATGTCTACACGACAAAGTTAATTTGAAATAACAGCAGTTATTTCGAATTAACTTTAATAGCGTCTACACAGGCAAACTGCTATTTCGAACTAATTTCAAAATAGTGGAGCCCTTATTTCGAATTTGGTAAACCTCATTCTATGAGGAGTAACACCAAATTCTAAATAGCTATTTCGAATTAAGTGCTGTGTAGACACTTAATTCGAAATAGGGGGCCTCAGCCCTTCCCAGGGAGCCCTGGTGGCCACTCGGGCACAACCAGGGAAACTTACTCTCTTCTCTTCCAGCCTTGGAGC